TGTGGACTTTGAAAAGATTAAAACTTAGTGTTGAGTAAATTCATCATAAAGAGTGCTCAATGAATGTGAGAACACTCTTTCTTATGCCCAACCCACATCTCCCTTACTTTCTCCTAGGAATCAGACATGGGACACCATCCCTGAGATGTATTGACTATGGTTGGAATAAACAGTCAGGAGAACTCCATTAGCACCACCATAAGATACTCACTATGCCAATGGCTCACTGATCTCTATATTTGGTAGTGGGGAATCAAGCAGTTTTCCTTATATAATTCCAAAATCACTGACCATATTTTTGCTTTACTTTGAAATAAAAGTTACTTGGCCCTCCTGGACTTTTAGAGTAAACACCACTTTGTTTTTGTGCCGTGGTGGAAGAAACTGAAAAACATCACTGGCCAGGGCAAGAGAAGGGAGCTCTATAGTAAATCAAGATGAAGTTCCTAAATACACAGTGTCTGTATGTGTGGAAGCCTGTGGAATCAGTCTACTTGGTAGCAAAACTCCCAAATGATTCCTATGCACATTAACTCTTAAGAAACGTGGCACAGCCCCTCTCCACTTCAGCACTACTGCCTCCAATTTCCCTTGTCTAGACCAGATACACAATCCAAGGAGCCCTTGTCTTTTATTCCAACACCTCGGTTCATTCCATTGCCAATGGCGAAGTCTGGCTGAGTTTCCCAAAATCTATCATGCAGCAGGGAATCTGTCAGAGCTAAAATCGGTTTCAGCAGCAGCCAAGAGAACAAGACTGGGATGCAAAGGAGTTGGATTGGTGATGCTTGAGGGATGCAAACAAGGCAGGTCACAAACCTACTTCTCTTCACCCTGTAACTTGTGTGCTGAGCAAATAGGAGAATCGGAACCAGAATGAGGCGACCCTTACTGCCCTCTTCAAAGCCTCGCATTGCAGAATTTAAGATTCCGAATTTAAGAATCATGTGGCAGCAACACATTTGCAAATGTGACAGCAACTTCTTTGCTTATTGCATCCCCAATTTCTATATGTATTAATGTAATGCAAATTAAGTCTCCTAATGAGAATTATAACAGAAGGGAAATGACCAGAAGATCCACATAAACTGTTCCTCTTCATCTGTTTTGTTCATTCTCTCCGTTCTGTTTTTCTTTTTCTTTTCCTCTTAGCAATGAATTGATTAGCACTTGATCTGAAGGAAATGCATTTTCTGTCAACTCACTATAAATATGAACGGGAAATTCTGAGGGAGGTTTTTTCTCTGTTTCTTTGGCATTTGTTTCAACACTGCATGGATTTATTCTGAAATGAGCTGGGAAGTCAGTACTATAAAAATGACTAAATGCAAGCATAAAGAAGTAAACCTTTGTATCTCGGACTGAGCTGATGGTTATCTAGCTGTAGCTCATCTCCATTTTTATTGGCATCAAATTATGCATCTGTGTGTGATTCAAAGGGTGCTTTATTTTACTCCTCCCCTTCCAAATGTGTGAGGTTGCCGGGGCTCCAGATAACTTTGTATGAGCAAAAGGCTAAAGCTCACCTTCAGTTTGGAATGTCCTATCCACAAAGATAGACTGATTGACAAATGTGCGTGTATTCTCAAGATTCAAAACATCTGGGAAATGACAGTTAGCCCACAAGGATCATTTTAGTTTAAAGGAATCTTCTGCACCTAAACATATACCAACTTTTCCATTTCATAAGTAAACAAAATAAAAATGGTTTCTCCTTCTTGCTGCCTTCTGAAGCTCCAACCATTTCTGTCTTGTTTTAAAATGTTTGGGACTGTGAAAAACTGAGAACAGACCATGATATCTTTCATAGCTAGGCAAGGCTCCAAGTAGCTGGATTGCATTGCATTTAGTTGAGTTGTTGGTCAAGGAGTTCCCATGGAAATCCCCAAACAACCTAAGCTGATGCTAGGATAGAAGGTTGCTCTCTGAAAACTGACAGCAGGGACCTACTGCTGAGTACACTATTCACACAAGTCCTTGAATGTACAGAGATCAAGCCAGTGCCCCCATGGAGCTTTCACTTGTATGTTCTAGTCTCCTTGATGCAAGAAGGTACCCTGCAGGTTACAGATTGCACCTGGACACCAACCCAGCCATAAAACCTTTGACCTTGCCTGAAAGATGTGCTGAGACAGTGTGGAACAGAACTTGTGGGAGTAATCAACCAATGTCCAGTGATTTAACTTGAGTCCCACTCCATGGGAGGGAGCCCATGCCCTATACAGCCTTGATGGCCAGGAACCAGACACTAGATAACCCAGAGACCTAGAGTAGAAACAAATACAACATGCAAATAAAAAATTTAAAGAAAAATCAATGAAGTGATTCTTAATGATATTCTGATGTATTCATAGATCAATGCCTGGTCCAGTTGTCTTCAGAGAGGCTTCCTCTGGAAGCAGCTCAAAGCAGATGCAGAGAGCCACAGCCTGGCATTATGCAGAGAGAGTCCAATTCAGAGGTCTCTGTTAGGCCCCTTCCCTCAGATCTCCAGGAACCCCAAGGAAAAGGAGGAAAAAAGTTTGTAGGACAAAGAGGGTCCTAGAGAATATGGTCCACCAAATCAACTAAGCAGGGCTCATACTGGCTCACAGAGACTGAGGCAGTAAGCAGGGGACCTGGAAGGGTCTGGATGAGGTCCTCTGCATGTATGTTATGGCTGTTAGCTTGGTGCTTTTGTGGGACTCCTAACAGTAGGAGTATGTCTCTGACTCTTTTGCCTGATCTTGGGACTCTTTTCCTCCTGTTGGGTTTCCTTGTCCAGTTTTGATATGAGGGCTTTTGCCTTGTTTTACTGTATCTTGTTTTGTCATGTTTGATTGTTGTCTTTTGGAGGGAAATGGAGAGGAGTGGATCTTAGGGGAAAAGGTACATGGGAGGAAGCTGGAAGGAATGGAGGGAAGGGAAACTATGATCAGGATGTATTGTATGAGAGAAAAATTTATTTTCAATAAAAAGAAAAGAAAACAGAAACTCGAAGAAATGAAATGAAATGTTGGTAGCCAGGGGCTTTTGGCTGTTGGGGGATGTAATAAATTTCCATAATGATGACAATTAATAATACCCTTTGTGCTTAAAATTTACTATGAAATTACAGTAGATAAGTTTTACTATGTGCGGTACTGGGGATGTGAATTTGCTAGATCTGGGTCATTACTTCACAATGTATATATGCATCAAAACATCAGACTGCCACCTTGTATACATATGACTTTGCCAATTATAGTTCCATGAATCAGACAAATTGAAAATAGTTAAAGAAAAATTTCAATGAGAAAATATTTTAATTAAATCTGGTTTTATCCTGGAATATTTTGTT